GCAAAAACAATGAGAGTCACCCTGAGACAAGGGGACAGAGCAACCCTTAAACTCACACAAAGCAAGAGGGGATGCAGGGGTTTCCTCCATTGGACCCGAGTGCCCTCGCGGGGTTTTCCAGGGCCCCTAGACTGGGTTTGCTAAGGGTTATCCCAGGCAGGGTACTGCTAATAGCTTAACTCACGGGACGTGTCCACTCACGAGGGCAAAGTATTGAGTGCCACCACACAACGACCCTAACATAATGGGGGAGGGTGAACACAAGGATGACCCCCACCAGGCAAAAACAAAAACAAAAGAAAAACCTCGCAAGAGGACAACGTACCCGAAGAGAACAGAGCCGGCCGCTGTTAAAGGTGAAAACTAGCTATGTAGTACCCCGCACCCCACCAGCGCAACAACTACCACTTACCCCAAGGTAAACAAGGGGTTTGCCCCCTTCCCCCTCCCGGGGAAGGGGGGAGCTGCACAGACATGCGGCGCGACTCGTGTGACGTCATGCTTGTTTGCTTGTTTTTCTCTTGGGAAGTTCTGTCCACTCGTTTTATGATTTTCGTTGTTAACTAGAATAGGGGTTTGTTTGGTGGCGCTTACCTTTCTGGGTGCTTGTCCCGGTCGATGGCAGATATAGAATGCTCCAAATCACATGTGCATTTCTATGGGCCATTGTTCCTCGTGCCTCTGTGAGGGGGCCAGGTTCTGGCTCGTGGTCCCCGGTAGGCCTAGAACTCCACCCAAATCAACTGATGCAAAAAAGTTAAGGTATCCAAATCAGCCATGGATAGTTCCGGGGAGCCGTAGGGGGGTCCCCCCAGAAAGAGCACCCTATCCAAAGACAAGGACAGCTCAGTCGAGGCATGAGCAGGCCGGAGATGGAAAACGCACGAGAAAGCTTACGGAACGGGGCCGAAGTGACATCCACCACAAACACAAGCTGAAGTGGCTCCACCAGCGCCGCACAATAAGAGGCAACAGTATTAGGCATAAGATGTCGGTCCTGAAATAGCCAAGAAAATAAAGACAAAACAACACGAACAGAAACAGAAGACAGCCTACGAAGAGAAAGGAAGTGTTGAAAAGAACGCCAAGACTTCATACTGTCACCGAGAAGAAGTCTGCAGGTGGGACACCATGAGCGAAGCCACCTGATCATTATACAAGTGGTGATACATACACGTCAAAAATACCAAACGCGAAGAGCGGAAGAGTAGATCGAACCAGCAAAGTACCGCACTGACCCGATCTGCTGAAAGAGGCAGAGCCGCGGAAACGCCCTGGGTTAGGACACCGAGCAAGCACCATGGGGCCAGAAGGAGAACCCTTCCCTGATAGGACTCCACCAGAGTCAGAACCTGAAGCAACAGCTGGACTGGGGGAAAGAGGTACAGGAACCCCCCACCTCAACTAATCCTGCCAAAAAGCGTCGACTGTGATGGCTTTGCAGCTGGGGAAGGGCGCCACATACATTGGGAGACACTGCGACAATTCTGACTTGAAGAGGTCCATCTCCTGGGACCAGAAGGTGGTCCACCTTCAGTTGGCAAAGTCAATTGAAGGACTTGATGTTGACTGTCCCGTCCGTGAACAGAGGAATGAACTGAGACAGGCCATCTGCCAGGACTTTGCAAACACCCCTGATGTGAACCGTACAATGAGCTAAACCCTGAGAACTCAGCAGAAGAGTCACTCGAAGCGACCATCCCCACAGAGACATGGACTGAAGAGACCCCTCCGCAGTTCAGGCAATGAAGCACACTGGGGCACAGTGTAAATGGAGCTGGATCATAGAACCTCGAGCTAGCTGAATTCGCCGCAGCGTAAGCCACACCACCACAAATTCCCGCACTGTGCTGCGAGCCCCACAGAAGGACAGAGCCCAGCGCCCCTGGCTGGCTTAGTGAGCACTAGTGAGCAACCAGCTGAGAGACGAGGCGTCCGTAAACACATTGAGCGAGGGTTCCGGAAGGCACCAAGGCACTGAACCAAAAAAAAAAAAAAAAGAGGAAGCCGGAGACGCAGCAACCGATGCAATAAGCGTAAGCAATAAGCTTGTCACCCCACCACAAAACCTAACCAGTTCCTGAACCCCAGGTGAATAGGGACATGCCAATGTGCATCCTGGAGGTCCAGAGACACCATCTAAGAACCTGGTTCCATCAGAAACCAGACCTGGGACAGGGTGGTCATGCGAAAGGAGGGGCAAGGAATCCAGCGGTTCAGATGGGACAAGTCCACAACCGAAGATCTGCATAGTCCCATTTCGGAACTGGAAACAAACGAGAAACCCACTTGAGGGACAAAGTCGGTTCGCTCATGCTCAAGCACACCCACTCCAAGATGACCCAATGGAGCATAGGGGAGGAAGCCTGCACTACTACACCCCGAACCTCCGAGAGAAGGAGGAGCCGCCCACTGCCATCACAGGCCGGAAGACACGACCCAAAATGCCCACGAATTATGGGACCAAGCATGGACACACAAGAGCCTGACTCCCCAACCCTCCCAGTGCTCTGTCAATGGGGGGATATGCAAAAGGGCTGCCACCCCTTCCAAGAAGCCGACTTATGTGCAGAGCGATTACCGCGCCGACCAGCCGAAGATGGCTCCAGAGAAGGCACCAGCATAGAAATTGGCACTAAGGGCCCACCTCGACCAGATGGCACGGGGAAGGCATGTGGATGATCCTAGCCATGGCATGACCCTTCTGAGAAGCATGAGAATGCCCACCCCGGATCACTAACAAATCAGAAAGAGGATGGCAACTGGTAGAAGCTGCCTGAAAAACTGAGAAACAATTGCGTCCGAAAACAACAACGGACAGAAAGGAGATGAAAACTTAGGAGCCAGGGCCCAAGCCAAGTCAAAAGAGAGAGCGAGGATATACGTAAACCCCGAATCCTGCAACAGCAAACCCCACCCGAGAGAACCAAGGCCCAGGCAGGATTGAACGGGGTCCAAGAGTCCAAAGCCGATTCCCCCCCCTTCCCCCCCAGCCCCGAAAACCTCCAATCCAGGCTCCGGGGCAGAGCCATCCCCCACACCCTCCATCCTTGAAGCAGTTGGACTCCATCCTTTCCCTTGGACTCCTCCAGAGTCCAAGGGAAAGGCAACAAAGAAGGGGGGGAGGGTCTGCTGGTAAGACCCAGAAGCCTCAGTGGGAGGATCAGGCTTAAAGGCCTCTGTCCTCACAATGAATGGCACAGCCCCCAGAGCCACCCGAGTCTCATCCCCAACTAAACCTCACCCCGACTCTGAAACTCAGATATTCAGGAGTCAGCAGCAGGAGAGGAGGAGGAGCAGGGTAAACCATGCCCACCAGTGAAGGACTTGAGGACACAGACTGAACCAAAATTGAATCGACCAACTCCCCCAAGTTCGGGTCCCTAAAACCAAAACGGGGCAGCCCCGGGGCATTCGAGTGGGCAACCAACCTAGCACATTGCAATAACAAGCACTCCCTACCCAGGGCCAAACAAAAGCACCAAGAACACCGCAGACCCCAAAGGCAAGGTCAATGCCAAGCGACAGCATTCCCTATGGGAGAGAACCTGAAAGCCACAGGGAAGATAACACTGAGACCCAAGGGAAGTGCTTACAGGGCACCTAGGGAAGATAACCCTAAGTGCATGCAGCCCGAAGTACCGCTTACTCCTGGCCACCGCCCAATACACAGCAGGTAGAACCGCCAAGGCAAAATCCTGACAGGAAATTGATGCCAGGAGACATCAGTCCCAGCCGACTTCAATTGATGAAGTGGAGGGTCAATGAGCAGTGCGGCGGTTTAATGGCATTTTGCTTGTTGCATTGATTTTCTTGGGGGGAGTTCTTGGGCTCTGTTTGTCCCTTCACCATGAGAAACTGGGTCAATGATTCAGAGCCTCCACAGTCCTCGTCAGGCACCATTAGCAAGAACATTCGAACTGGAGGCGGAGAGAAAACAAAACTCAAAATATAAAGAAAATATGATTCGAGCTACTTGAAATTAGAATTCATTTAAGAACCTGGTAGTGAGATGCATCATCCACAGCTGCTTTGTGTTGTGTGTGTGAGAGTTTATCCAATGATGCCATGAAACCTTCCAAACTGGAAAGACACATGCCATCAAAACACTTGGATTTAGCTAGGAAACCACTTGAATATTTTCAAAGAATGCATGAAAATACGCAAAAGCAAGTAATTGCTTTAACAAAAGTGATTGTTGGAGATAAGTCCTTATTAGTGATCCTCAGGATTTAAATTAGTGGTCCGTGGGATCACTAATCCACGGCATTTAAAATTATGAATTTAGTGGGCCGTGAGGTCCGAAAGGTTGGCAACCGCTGCCCCCAAGGGAGTGAACCTCGAACACTTCAGGAAAGAGAATCCTGATAGTGAAAGGGCAGTACCCAAGGATCACATAGGGAAGTAAACCCTGAGCACATGCTGTTCCAAACACACTAAACTCCCGGATCGTGCTGCACAAACGTGCACAGGAAAGGCGTAAGAAGGCAAAACACCACTTAACTGACAACAGGAAACCAGAGTAAGAGCGAACTCAGTGGGTGACTAGGCACAAATATATCAATATAAGAGTTGGTGGTGGAGCAGCCAGTTGACCCAGTCTGCCTCCCTCCTCTCCCCAAATGAGGGGAAGAGATGGGGCAAACTTGCTTGAGCTAGTTTCGAGAATTTTCGATTGTTTGTTTACATTGATGGGAAGAGTTCTTTTGGGTGTTTTGAGGCTGTGGTCTGGCTTTTTTTGCTAACTTTCTGGGAGCCTTCCCTTAGTGGTGGCAAACATGAATAAATGTACATAAAAAAAATTCACAGTGGCATTGCGCCCTATGCCTCTCTGAGCAGAGCTGGGTTCTAGCTCATGGTCGCCCTATACCCTGGGCATGTTGACTTGTATGCCTACCCTGTGCTTTCTGACTTGCCTAACCTGGGCATGCCTACCCTATAGTGAATAAGATGCCTGCCCCCACACCTGTCAGCTCCATTGCACATTTTGTGAGCCTTACCTCAACACTGAAGATGTCGCTCCTAATCCAGGCTCGTTCATGGACCATGTCCTTGATGGAGACTCCAAGATTTGCCATGAGCCGGGTCAACTCAGCAATACCTATAAATAAAAATACATTAATTTTTGCTTACTGCATTAGACAAAGATATATAAAATAATCTTGCTTTGAGAATGGAGAACATGAAGACCATTTTATGTAGACGTACGGCTGGACACTCACCGTGCCAATATCATACTTGGTGAGTACTGTGTTTACTTGGAAAGTATAATATCTTTCTTTCTTACTTCTGTTCTCACCCAGAACACCAATTTATCAGTGAGCCCCAGAGGATCGTGGAGCTATCAAACGGAATTAGTGTCAAACTCTCAAGTGGCATCAGTCGTGGAGTTCTATTGGCCTACCGGGGGCCACAAGCCAGAACCTGGCTCCCTCATAGTAGCACAGGGAGTGGTGGCCTACAAACACTTTACATTTAAAGTTAATTATAACTGGAACCACCAGGGAAGTGCCCAGAAAGTCAATGAAACTCAACAGACCGCTGCATGGTTAGGATGAGACCACAGCCTCAGAAGATTGCCAAAAGAACTTCCCCAACAATGAAAACAAAAACCACAAAAATTTCATGAAACTAGTACAGTACTCCCTCCCCCCCCCCCCCCCCCTTTCGTTTGGGGGTAGGAGGGAGGCAGACCGAATCAGTTGGCCCGCTCCACCCTCGATTCTATGATGATGGAACACTCCGATGTCCTGGGGCGAGGGGCATATCTGGGAGCTTCTGGGGCTCACCCAGAAATTGGCGGGACATTCTCTCACTAACCAGATCGTTGATTTGGTGAGCGAAAATTATTTTGTGCTATATTATGTCGCATTCGTCTTTTAATAAATGTAATACATGTACACTGTTGGTTTGTTTAAATCTTGCCAATTCAAGATATTTGTAATTGCCTAAGTGTAGTTACAAGATGAGAGATACGCTCATGGTGTTCTCTCTGCCAGACACCCATTGTCATATAACGCTTCGAAATTACTGACGGTTTTGGGTTTGTGCCGGTCACCGAGTGTTCCCTCTCATGTTTGAGGTGTGTCTTTATAATAGGAATACAAAATAAATGTTTAATTTAAAATAACGTACTGTACATATACTGTACTATAATTAAGCAAGTGAGGAGGTTCCGTTTGATTTTTATTACTGCATAAATGTATGAAAAATTTTCCATCCCCAATGCCACACTGGAAACATTGAGGATCAGAAGATGGATGAACCATGCCTGTAGCAGAAGGTAGAGGTGCAATTGACTAAGGTATAGTATAGTTGTTGTTTACCTGTTAAAGATTCTGGGGATTAGGAGCCGGTCGGCCGAGCGGACAGCACGCTGGACTTGTGATCCTGTGGTCCTGGGTTCGATCCCAGGTGCCGGCGAGAAACAATGGGCAGAGTTTCTTTCACCCTATGCCCCTGTTACCTAGCAGTAAAATAGGTACCTGGGTGTTGTCAGCTGTCACGGGCTGCTTCCTGGTCGAGGACCGGGCCGCGGGGACACTAAAAAGCCCCGAAATTATCACAAGATAACCTCAAGAAGATTAATATCCCCGTGGCCCAGTGTCTGACCAGGCCTTCTGGTTGCTGGTCTGATCCACTATGCCGATTTGATACTGGTTTGATGCAGCTTCTCGCAGCCTGAGGTATGAGTCAGCCTGGTTGATCAGGTATCGTTTGAATGTGCTTGTCAAGTTCTCTTTTCAACACTGTGAAAGGTCGGCCAGTTATGTCCCATATGTGTGGGGAAAGTGTTGAAAAGTCTTGGGCCTTTGATGATGATTACTTTCTATCTTAGCATGCCTATTGCACCTCTGCTCTTCAGTGGGGCTAATTTGCACATCCTGCCATGCCTTCTGGTCTCATGTGACCTTATTTCTGTGTGCAGATTTGGAACCTGTCCTCCTAATATTTTCAAAGTGTAGAGTATTATGTATCTCTCCCACAAGTGCTCCAGGGAACACAGATTTTAAATTTAGATGATTTAGATACCGGCTTGATGGAGTTCTGGGAGTTCTACTCCCCAAGCCCGGCCTGAGGCCGGACTTGACTTGTGTCCACCAGATGGTTGCTTGGAGCAGCCTGCAGGCCCACATGATTTACTGTGTAGATTCTAGTGGTTAAGGATCTTTGCATGCTCTTCAGCTTTGAATGAGGTTACTAGTGTGCAACAATATTCCACTCTAGAGAGCACTAATGACTCAAAAACCCAGCGTTGAATGTAATGAAACGGCATTTTCTGGGTGAGACCCGGAGGTTCCCCGGAGCTTTACCAGGCTGATATGCTAATGTCAGACTTTGGCATCAGTCATGTGTATGGAGTTCGGTGGGCCTACCGGGGACCACAAGCCAGAACCTGGCCCCCTCGCAGAGGCACGAGGATCAATGGCCTACAGAAACCCCCGTGTGGGGTGGAAGTATTCTATGTCTGCCATCAACTGGGTTAGGCACCCAGAAAGGTAGGCATCCCAAAACAAACCCCTATTCTAATGAAAATTGCTACAAAAAGCCGAACAAGTGAATAGAATTCCCCAAACAGAAATGAGTAAATGAGTATGATGTCACAAGTTGCCGTGACGCCGTCTGCGCAGCTCTTCCCACCCAGGGAAGTGGAAGGGGAAGACCCAGACCCCTGCGCCGGCCATCCACACCCCAGTTCTGAGGTGATATCAAAAACGCGCAAAAACTGCCGACCAGAGGGAGGGAGGGAGGGTTGCCAGGGAGCCTCCAGGACTCGCCCAGAAAATGGCATTTCATTACATTCAATGCTGGTTTTCTGGGGGGAGCCCAGTCGGCTTACCATGTATTAATATATGAAAGTACTTAAGGAAATTCCTGTTTCAATTTTCCTCTGTGGTCTGACACTGTCACATTTTTAACCCTCAAACCGCGCATATCATATATAAATGATATCAGTGACAAAACCGAAACCGCGCACATCATTTATATATGATTTCGTGTCTAGCGCTATAATTTAAACGCCCCGCCTGGGATAGGGGCAGCTATAGTACAGCCACGACCGATAGTTACCAGATGCCACCTAGAAAAAAAATCCAGGCCAATATTCTTGGGTGTTACAGCGTCAGTATTGAGCAAGCCACCAAGGCTGTCGCACGCAGCACGAGCTCACAGCACCGCTGTTCAGCTTGTGACCACAGCATCGCCTACAAATACCTTAATATAAATGATACTGCTATTATTTAGCAGTGATAGTATTACTGAAGCCCCCTGACTGTGATAAAACTGACCAGGATTCTGATAATAGCAGGATTGTGGTGATATTTAGCGCTGTGCTCCATGGAGGGAGGAGCACATATATCAAACTGATGCCTGCGACGTAGAGAACGCTCGGGTAAAGTGGACATGACTCTTACAGCAGGCGTGGGAGAAATATAAGGGGGGGAACACCGTCACAGTATATAGTGTAACAACAGCAAAACTATTTGTTTATTGTTTTATGAACATAATAATTGAATCACTAATATGCACACCATAACTTTGAGTACAGCGATGGTTCACACATTTTATAATATAAATATACCACAATTCACTGTATGGAATAATATTACTGCAAAAAAACTAAGAAAAAATAAATCAGAGACATTGAAATAATTAGGTAATAATATATTTGTGGCAACTGCCGTCTGACAGCTCGGCCGGAGTAGACCTCGTCTGGCGAAGGCTCTGCCAACGCCCTTTTTTTGCCACACTTCCCTACCCTATTGCGGCTAAAATATGCCACCTACGATTTTTTTTTATTTTTTCCGTGATCAGGGAACAAAAATGAACACTTCTATAAGACGAAAGAATTTTTTGGATTTTTTTTTTGTTGTGCCTGTGGATGTGAATTCCATTCGGGCCCCTAGCGGTTTGAGGGTTAATCACGTGTTTATTTTCGTGATTTACACACATATCAAATCAAATCAAATCCAATATTTATTCAGGTTAAGTACATACATACAAGGTGAGATACAAAACATTGATGGATTTATAGATAGAGCTAGTACATACAACTCCTAAAGCCACTATTACGCAAAGCGTTTCGGCCAGATTAACCCGCAGGTCAAGCAACCTGAAGCGGATACAGGATAACAAGCCATACGGACTAGAAAAACAGCCCCAGCACCAGCAGCGAGGGATATGAGCATAGAAGGAAGATGAGGAATGAGAAAGACAGGCAGCAAAGGGAACAAAAGGGACAGAACCTACAACACAGAGGCCATGTCTATGTCAGGCGATTGACAGCCGAGAGGCGGGACCAAAGAGCCAGAGCTCAACCTCCGCAAGCACAGCTAGGTAAGGACAACTAGTTGAGTCCAGAGAATCCAATGTATTGGTCTCATATGGGCCAATAGGTACTCTGCAGTCATCTTTGTTCTTATGTTCTGATATCCATATCCAAAAACCACAAACTAGCGCCTGGCTGAAAAAGATGCCAGACCGCATAAACTCACCTGCAGAACGTAGGCACGAACGTGTCACAACACAACGTAGGCAAGAAAATGCCGGGAGCACCGCCCGAGGATGAAGGCCAAAGCCGCACATGCAGGAGAAGGAGGCACCCCACACCCATATACAGGGAAAACCCAGCGACCTTCCCATAGTGGCAATCCAAAACACCCCCAGCATCTACTGGTCATGGACTGGAGAGGCGAGAGGACCCGCGAGAAAAAGGACGCCGAACACCAGCACTTGTGTACACCGTCCAGAACAAAACAAACTCCCATGGTGCATGCGCAGGACGCATGAGGTCCGAGCCGCACAACTCTGCCTAGCGGGGTGGGCGCCAACAAGGAGTGTAGCAAAATATTAGCAGTGCCTAGACAGAGCACAGAGAGAAGATATAATGACAAAAGAATGAGACAGTATCGAAAACTAAGAAGAAGCACGGAAGAGGACCAACAAGTCCAAAAAAGGACTGGAGGTAAGCCTCACTAGAAGATGACAGACGTTCCAACAATGTGGGAAGAATCGAAGACCTCCCCGAACCCCGAGATCTCACAGAAGCAAACAAAATCACGAAAGCTCATAAAGGCAAAGTTACACCCGAGACCAAAAGTC